GGTGGGACGGCCCCAGCGGCCTCTCCCCGTCCGAAGGCGCCCCTGAAGGGGAGGGCAGAGCTGTCCGCGAGCGCTGGCCGCGTCGGAACTGCGGGTTGCTAACGTGTTCTGCCTGTAACGTGGTGCGTAAGAAGTGTACCTTTTTTTTGAGTGACAGTAGGTGTTACCTGTTTTAAGGGATAGAATGAAGCAGTTGCATGCGTGCCCTTACTGGCGAAGTAATTGTAGAGGCGGCATCCCGACAGCAGTTAGTAAAGAGCTGCGGAAGAGTAAAGTTTCTTCTTAGAGGTTGCTTGCAGCCCTTCGCGCGAACGCTTCGCATCCCGTTACCGAGGCTGTAAGCTCTCAGTGGCGTGGTGGCACAAGTTCAGTTCTCTCGCTGGGAAGAATCTGCCCCTTCAGGGTTTGGACCTGCCTTGGCAATTATTAGACGGGTCCCGAGCTGAATTTCACTTCTTCTGCGTGTGTGTGAAATAATTGACGCTTTCTTAACTATACTCTGTAATTCGTAGTACCGTCAGTTCTGCTCAAATAAAAATATCTCAAAAATTAAGTTGAGGTGTCATGTTTTAATGTGTAGGTGTAGTTGTTACCATGCTTGTAAAATACATTGCTTGTTCTCAGATCCTGCCTGCTTGCAGATAAAGGGTAATTAAGAGTCGTGAGATGGTATGATAATAGCTTTTATGTTATGTCAGTTAAGTACAAAATTGCTGTTAAGAAACCAACATAGATAATACTTACTACCTTGCATATAGAGACCAGTGTCCTGACTGTCACTGTGCAGAGTTACGATGGGGGATATTTGTGCTGGCCTTGCCAATCGCCTTTCTCAACAAAACATGTCGGTCGTAGGATGTTGGTGATTTTACTTACATAGTTTTACAGAAATACTCTACTTTAAGAAGGGGAATCCTTAAAGAAAGGAAAAATACCTGTCAAGGTGTATTAGTTCACAGATCTTTTAACTGTAACTAGTTTTGGTGCTAAACATACTAGTTCTCTGAGTACGAATTGCACACATCTTCATAATTTCTTTTGTGAAAGAGGAAAATCAGAACAAGAATGCAACATGTAATAGGCCTTCTGAACAGAGTCCTGTTTTGATCATTTTAAACTTTCATTTGGTCCATTTGCTTAAAAAGAATTGTTGCAAGAACAAATTAGAATTTAACGTATCTGCAGCAAAGGTAACGATTAACTGTATCTACTGTTCCTAGCTTTGGCTAAAGTATGCTTGGTTTTAAGTCTGAGCTTTTATTGTAGACCATGACATTTACTTTAGATGAATTGTCTAGTATCAGCCCAAACTGTGTGTCTCAACATGTGTTGAGATGTCAGAAGGGATGAACTTGCATGTCCTATCTCTACAGTTGTTTGGTCACTTTTAATGAAGTCTGAAATAAATCTTCTGAAGTTCAAACTGAACTAGGAACTTAAAATGTGTTTCACCTGTGTACACGCGTGTTATCTTATGTCAGCTGTCAGAAATGGCTGGCCAGTGTATTGAGTGGTATTATGTGAAGAATGCTTAAAGGGGAAGCTCCTCACTTTTTTTTTTTCTCCCCCAATACAAAATTATACAGCGCATTTCTAACTCGAAAATTTAAAAATCTGTGTTTATGGGTCCTCATCTTCACATCACCTGGTGGCCTTTGTGGGGGGAGCTGTCATATTTGTTGTGCCACTTGGGTCTCTGAAAAGTCGAAAAACTTGGAAAATGACTGATTTGACAAATTTGTTTTTTGTTTTTGCAGCACGTCAGTGCTTTCATGCTCTGAATTTGATAAAGAGAGACTGCCTTCCATCACTGCACATCGCAAGATGTGCATCTACTGCCTCTGTGCCTCGCATAACTACGCATTATACAATTCATCCTCGGGACAAAGACAAACGATGGGAAGGTAGGTGAAAAAACACATTCTTTAAAAGCTGCTTTATTGTTATTATTGCTTAGTTTTAAAGGTACTGAAATGTGTTGCTGTTTTTTTCTTTTTAGAGAAATTCTGTACTCTTAAATACAGTACTAATATTCCAAATGAAACTTTGTGGTTGCTATCTCACAATGAATGTCTTTAATGCTATAAAATGGGATCAGGTTAAACTTGATCCTAGTTATTTAAAGAAAATATATAAGCAGCTTTTGCTTTAGTGACTATCACAACAAGATTTAATTCTGTCAGGTATGTATCTGTTGGATTTTTTCAGTTGTTCTTACCATGAGAGTTTGTGAGAAAATAAGATTAATATGTATCTCTGGGCATTCCAGTCTCTTCATTCAGCAGTTTTAATGGCTTCAATTCCAGAAAAGATACTGATTAATTAGTGTAAAATAAAGTAACTTGTTCTGAATAAGGGTCTCTTTTCTTTTCTTTCTTCTTTACCTGGAGTTTCACTGAGTGTCTTTGATACAGCTAGCCAGCTGGGCTCTTAAGTTTAACGTTCTAAGGTGATACTTACTCGTGGTGCATAGAGATTGAGTATATGTTTTTATGGTATATCTCCTTACAACTTAAAAAGGGCTGATTTTACATTGGGGTGCTAATATCCTTCTGCACTCTTCCAAGTACTGAAGTGGGGATTCTGTTAAATTTTCAGCCTCCTTTTATGCATGGTAGTACTACTGCGATAGCCAGTATTACAGAGCAAGGTTTAGTGAGAGAGAGACTGGAGGAGATTGAAGATTGATTTATCCCTCTATCTTTTTTTCTATTATAGGGGTAAACATGGAAAGATTTGCAGAGGAAGCTGATGTTGTCATTGTTGGAGCAGGCCCTGCGGGTCTTTCTGCAGCTATTCGACTCAAACAGTTAGCTGCGGAGCATAGCAAAGAAATACGTGTTTGTCTGGTGGAAAAGGCTCCTCAGATTGGTGCGCATACACTGTCTGGTGCTTGTCTTGAGCCAAGGTCCTTACAAGAACTCTTTCCGGACTGGAAGGAGCGAGGGGTATGTATGAGCATGTAAACACTGAAATTAATCGCTGGCTTGTAATGAACTCCCTATCTGACTCATTCTGGTATGACTTAGTACCTTGGTACTTAGTACCATTTTAAGATATGTTGATCTAACAAAACAAAAAAGCCCCTACCTTCTTTTTAGTCTGTTTCCTTTAGTTCGACAATGCTAATCTTTTATGTCTACACAGATATGCTGTGGCCTTTGCTCTTTTATATAGTAGTCTTGCTGCATCTACGCAGTATGTCTGGTGCATCCTGGGATGCACTACACTTACTGCATGTATGTGCAGAATCCAGCTCCCGTGCACAAGCAGTAAGATGGTCGATTCCTAGCAATGTCAGACTTGTTGCGTCTGTATGATAGTTCTTCATAGTCTCAGGAAATGGCGCATAGTACAGTGATTTTTGTGCAGACATAGTGGTGTTACGGAGGCCTAAGATGCTTTTAGGAGGGAGGATAGCAAGAGATGAGCTGCCATCTCTGCCAGAACAGCCATCTGACTTACAGCCGGCTGCCTGCTGTCACCTGGGAGCTGCAAGAAGTGGGCCGTCGACTAGTTGTTTCATCTTACTGGGCTAAACATGCAAGTTGAGCTGCCTGCTTTAGAAAGCTCTAGAATATTGATGTAGTACAAGCCTGCGTACAAACTGTAGAAGTTATTGGCAAGGCCCTGTTCCAGATTTTTTTACCTCAGTAATTGTGTTACTTCTTGCCTGATGACTGCCTCATAAGGTATTTTATCTTCTCTCTTACAATGCTTCCCTGTAGAAGTGCTTTATTAAACCTTTAATTGACTGCCAGTTCGATTGTTTGATTTGGTTTTTTTTGTTGGATTGGCTAGAAAAACATAACTCTCAGTACTGTTTCTATTTTCTCTTTTTATGTAGGCTCCACTTAATACTCCTGTAACTGAAGACAAGTTTGGAATTTTAACAAAGAAATCTAGAATTCCAGTGCCAATTCTTCCAGGTAAAGTTTGGTGAGGTAATAAAAAGTCATCTTTCTCAGTATCTTTTTCAACTTTTCCATGAATGAAACGATTTGATTCAATGTAGCATACAGCAAGTGTATGTAGAATGTAATGGCTTCCAGTGATAGGGACCCTGTAGGTGATGGCTGTAATAATACATGGCATTACTGTGGAGACAGTAGTTGTAGAAGAAGATACATCTGATGTATACAACTTCTGTTATTTTGCTTAGTGTTCTGTTTTGTGTTTGTGTGTCTTTCTTGCCTAGGACTTCCAATGGTTAATCATGGAAATTACATAGTACGTCTGGGCCACTTTGTGAGTTGGCTCGGTGAACAAGCAGAAGCTTTGGGTGTTGAGGTTTATCCAGGCTACGCAGCAGCTGAGGTAATAATGACATCAGCGTGTATATGAAAAGCATTTCTGGAACCCCCTTCACTCGACTCCCAGTTTATTTGTACATTCACAACATTCATCTTAAAAGAAGTGTATTGTGAAAACCCTGTTTCAGTGCCTAAATTCCCTGGCCCAGATCCAGCAAAGTGCAAGTGGATCATACAGTATGTTAATACATACATAATCTTCAAGTTTGACTGTTAAAAACGTAGTGCTTAGAAGTTCTGCATTAGAACTTTTTATGAATGGATTGAAATGACAGATCATTAAAATGTTTGTTTGTTTGTTTGTTTTGTTTAAATATTTCCAAAGGTTCTTTTTCATGAAGATGGTAGCGTGAAAGGGATAGCAACTAATGATGTAGGCATTCAAAAGGATGGAGCGCCTAAAGTAAGTAGCTTTCTTACCCATCACTAGGGGTCTCATTATGGAAATTGTGATATATCTGCTTCTACTGCCATCAGTAGTCTTGCTGCAGCCTAAGAAAAAGTGTAAAATTCAGTACCTGTCTTCCCTCTCTGTATACAAAATGGATCGATTACCTGTGAAAGTTCTGGTCTCAGAATGTTGTAAACTACTTCTGAGATTAGCAGAAAAAGCCTTCGCAGAAGGAAGGTTTGTTTGAGGGTGACTTGAAGGAAATACTGTAAGGGTGTCTTGGCGTCTGTGAAAGCAGGAAACAAAGGAAGGAATTCCAGGAACTCCTGGAAAAAAGGTGCGAAGGTGAAACAGAAAGCTGTTGTCCAGCTGATAACTAGCAACATGTAAGAGTGTGCTTCTGGCTGATTTGTTTTCTTTGGTATGTACAACTGCAGTCGCCTTTGTTGACAGCCTGTCTACCTTGTTGGGGCAAGGTACAGACTGAAGCTCTGTACCTTTTTGCTGGTTGGTCACATTTCTGTATCCAGAGGGTGACTCCCTGCCCTAAGTGTCGGACTTTGACTGATTTTTAGTGGAACCCAGAACCTGCGGTAAGCGTGTCGCTTCCCTGTGCAA